GGGATAATCGGGGCGTGATGCTTGTTATGTATTATCATCTCTATACATTAGAATCTCTATCATACTCAAAGAAATTCACCAAAGTGTGGTTTTCAATCTGCTAACTATGCATTCCATAATAGTCTGTAATTATTAAAAACTGACAAGAAAGCTACGCCACCTGTGTTTATGTGAAGCCAGGTAATGAAAAAAACAACAACGCTGTCATCACCTTTCAATTCCTGATTGCATTATCAAAACTGTAGCCGAGTTTGGCATCTGGGTGTGACCTTGTTAACTGCTAGGGTAATTAAATTTATTCTATTGGGAAAAGGGATGATAAATTATTAGCAGGAAGATTTTGTTCACATTTTATTAAATTGGCCTGTCAAAGGGTCGGCCAAATTATCAAGGGCCTCATTTATTGGAGGCCAGCCATATTGCCACATCTGTTACAATTATTTATAATTTCAGCAGTTGAAAACCAACTGAGTTAGGCATCCGCCATGTAAAGTAATTTACAAATTATCTGATGAGGGTTTTAGCTACTCCCTCATTTCTAGCCAGCAGAAAGCCGCACTGTAATTACAGAACACGATTAGGTTCTTTGGGGAACTTATCTTGCACTCATAGCCATAGTAAGATGCCGCAAGAACATATGGAGGAGCTTGTGCTTCTACTCCCTGAAGCTCGTGACCCGCCTGCCGCTGAGCCCTTGAGTTGAATTTGAATGAGAGTGCCATGGCTAATGTTCTACACATGCACCATTTATGCCACAAAACAAATCGGATCACTGTTAATTATGAAGCAGCTATAATCAGGCCTTCACATCTGTGTAATGTGAAGCGCAGTAGGCTGTATTCCAATAATGTATGACTACCTTTGGGTCGCAAATTGTGAGCCATATTGCCTCAGTAGTAGTTACCAGATTCAAAGCAACTCCTTTGATAAAAGCCCATCACAGGGATATTTTTATCCAGATTTGCTTTTTAACACAAGCTTCTCTTTATCAGCTATTGACCAGAACAGTTAAAGCATATGGCACAAGTTCATTAATGAACTTGTGCACACAGCACTCTAATTGTGCACACAGCACTCTAATTTAATGAAACCACTTGAGCCATAAAAATCAGATCTACTTAATTCCCCCTTTTCCGTACCTCTTCTACATCTAGCCTAAACTCCGAACTCAGAACAGACTATTGCCAGTGATCCTATCAAAAAAGGGATTCTATTTCCTTATGTTTATAAAAGGTGATCCAAAAGAAACTACCTAACTTCAGCAAAACAACATGGGCAAAAAAGTTCATTATCCATAAATAAATGTATATTTTAAAATATACAAATAGGACACACATCATCTGTATTTTAAAGATTACTCTCTAGCAGCTGCTTTCTAACAACAGAAATGCTCTTTATTCAGTGAAAAATCTTTCTTGCAAAAAGCAGCTAAACAAGCTGCACCCAGATGGCAAACCAGCTACAGTTTAATTAATCCACTAAAAGCCATTCAGTTTTCAGTACGGGTAATGTAATTTTGAATAATTGTAGGGGAAAAATTACTAAAACGTTCTTAAGTTTTATTATAGCGGCATGAACACTGCCACTATAGAGTAGTTAAAGTTGAGTTGCTGTTTCCATAATAAAGCCCTGCACTTTTCAGTTCTTGCTGCTTGACTTTGCTTTGAGTAGGAAACAGAGATTTGCTTTGCTAGCTCACCAACTGTATCAGTATCTAAGTTCCATTCAACTCAAAGTCTTCAGATACTGCACTTCACAACCAGCTTAGAACTCCTTTCAGGATACAACAGAACAAAAAAAGAGTGGGGGAGAATTTTTAGCAAGCTAATCAGATAATTCTTAGAGGAACTGCATTCTTAAAGCCTGCTTGGTCACATCCTGCATCTTTGCAGGGTAACAGGCACTTCCTCCTACAGCCCAGTGACCAGGAACAGAAGGTGGTAACTGCAGTAGAACATCCAACATATGGGATATTAATTATTCAGTTAGGTAGTTCTGTATTTATAGGCCGAGTTTAAGGATTATCTCTGTCAAGGTTGCTCGCAAGCCATTAAAATAGGAGTGGACAACTTGTGACCCTCCAGATGGTTTGGCCTGCAACCCCCTTCACCCTGTGCCATTGGCTATGCTGGCTAGACCTAAGGGAAATTGTAGGAAAAGCATCTGGAGGAAGTTGCCCACCCCGGCAAAACAGACAGCAACATATTACAAACCATAAAATCATAATCTAAAATGTCATTTTAATAGAACATATCTAAAAATGTGTTATTTAAGCAGAACAAAGCCAATGAAAATATATTAACTGATATTTTAAAGATTGATTTTTTTTCTCCTTAAATAACACACATTTCTATAAACTAGTGTTAGTAGTCAAAATAGTTACAATTAATTAACAAGCACAAATAACTGTTAATATCAGTTTGGAACAAAGAAGTCAAAGTCCATTTAAAAGACATCAATGTAGGGGTCATATGTATCTGACTAGGGAGATAATTCAAGATGCATGGGGCTACCACTGAAAAAGCCTCGTCTCTAGTGTCTACCAGTCCTTGATGGCCCAAGTGGGACTTGAGTCCAGTCTTAGGGGCTGGGCACTTTCATGCGGGTGCAAGGGATCCAACAAATAACTCAACCTATGTGTTCTGTATCATGGAGTTGGGAAGAAACTCCATTCACATAAAATGGTGATAGCTATCACATATATATCACCACTTTATTATTTATTACATTTATAAACCGCTCCCTTAGTCCTTCAGCACTCTTTCAGTGGTGTATACTCCTAGGCTAATCAGAAATGCTTAAGGCATAATATATTAACATATCACTACATTGTGATATTTTTGATGCCAACCCAAAGTGTAATTGTCTTTTACTGTTGGTAGGTTCTTTCTGTTGGTAATAACTGTCAAATAATTGCATTAGGACCCTCATTCATTTTTGTTTATTTCTTTACTTACATTATTTGAAAAATCACACAATTAACAATGTCCCTGAGGGGTGAACAATAAAAGTTGAAATTCATAAAAACAAAGAAAAGGAGGTGAATGCACATGGTGCTGGTTATTTTGTGTGTGTGTGTTGCCTTGATTTATCCACGTGTAAAGACCTAGCACACTCCTCCACCCTTGCCATTTGTATAGTACTTTCAAAGACGTTTCCAGTAAAACTTCAACAAATATCAAAACAGTTGCTGGCACCCAGTGTTCACATACTATGAAAATATGGGTTGAGTTAGGACTGGCAATGAAGTGAGGGACTACTTTTGAATTGTGAGGTGTTGTTACATTAAACCCCTGCACTATGGTTTACCTATGGGTTTGCTGTTGGGTTGTGAACACAAAAAGGACCATGCTTGTTGTTGGATTGTAAACTCAGACTCCTATTTTTTTTATTTATATCCTGCCTTTTTCCTACAAAGGGCTCAAGGCAGCTTACATCATTCTCCTCCTCCCATCTTATCTCCACAATAACAACCCTGTGAGGTAGGTTGGGCTGAGAGTCTGTGACTGGCCCAAAGTCACCCAGTTGGCTCCATGGCCGAGCGGGGACTCGAACCCGGATCGTCTGAGTCCCAGTCCGATGCTCTTAACCACTAGGCCACACTGGCTCTCCTTATCTTATTAAGGATAAGATATTTCCTTATCAGGGACTTGCATTGGAGGACCTCTGCATAAAATGGAGGACCATTACTGAGAAAGCACTTCTTCTGCAGAGGGTGGGCCTGCTTCTTATTCATAGCAGACTATTCAGATAGTGACTTTGCCAGACTGTGAGGAAGAGGGGGAAGAAGAAGCACAAGGAGTGAAATCGTCTTTGAGGTTTTACGGTTGCTTTGTGAAGTTTTTCAGGCAGAGCACAACAAAAGCCTACTTTGAACGGGGTCAAAGGATTTTCAGGGGAAGAGGATGAGCATAAACAAGCCACCCTGACGGTAAGCTGGAAGCTTTACTGAAGGAGGGGGGGTGACAAGGGAAGTTTCCACTTTGGATTCAACTCTTCACATGGGCAGGTGTTTCTCCTTCAACTTTGGTATTTAAGAGTTCTTATTCTTCTGTAATCTGATGGGATTTTCAGTAAAAGAACTGCATTGCAAAGGAATGTCTTGAGTTTTGAAGACAGAAGGAAGGAGGGAAAGGACCGGCTTACAGCAATTTCCTGTACTTACCTTTCTGGCACCCAGACACATTAAATTATGCTAACACAACACATTATTTTTAGGATGAATCTGAAGCACAACACTCACCACTTTTCTCAAAGAAAGTATGTGAATATTTGCATTTTCAAATCTCATTGCTATTGTAAATGTAATAGGACACACCTACTGAGTCAGTATCTCAAGGGTTATTTTAGAGTGATTAGCAAGTTCACCTACTTTCTGCCACTGCCAAGGCAGTGATGAATTCAGGTTGCTGGAATGGCAGGAATATCAGTTAGGGAGAAAGATGCACTATAGGAACAAGCTGGGATGGCAAGGATGGGACCTATTCCCCTTTGCCTGGAGGATAGATAACTGGTGCTAGCTTTCATAACAATGATGGGCAAAGAAAATGCTGGTGGTGCCAGCTCCACATCATTGCAAAGCACCAGCAGATGGCATGTGCCATTTGAGAAACAGCATTCCCTTTTGTGTGACAGATAAAGCGAAATGACTTTCCTACAATAGTACCTGCTGTTCACAAGTTGTATACTCATTTAAAAATAAATAAATCTGCTACCCAATTAACCAGAAGCATTTTAATTGATCAAACAGTGCTTAATCAATTAATTGGTTTGATTAATCAACTAAATGGTTACACTAACACTTATCTTCCTTCAGGATTTAGAATTATCTGGTCACTGTGGCAGTCTACAAGAAATCAAGTTACAGAAGAAACTATCAGGTGGCATCATTTTTAACAAACACTGCAGAAAAATTGGCTGATGCTTAATTATATTATAGCCAAACCTTAAGTTTCTACTGGGCTGTTAAACTGAGTAATGCAACTTAAAATTTCTCTCACCTCTCTTCTCTGCTTTGGACAAATTTCATGAGAGTGTGAAGACACAGAACTAAGGGCTTGAAGTTGTTCTTCCAGCTGACTGACATGTCGTTCTTTTTCAACTAGTTGATTCTGGAGAGAAACTTGATTCTGCTGAAGCTGAATTTCCTTTGCTCTGAGTTTCTCAAAACTTATAGTCATTTCGTTGTAAAGCTGCATGAAACAAAAACAACAGTTTAAGAAGAATGGTCATCATGAATAAGGGCACATATTCATAAATGCCATGGATAAGATTTCTAATGATAACTGAATCAACAGTATTAAAACCTTACTGATCCTACTTTGCCAAATCCCATATAGATCTTTTATCATCACACAGAAAGACACACATCTTATTATTGCAGAACCATAAATGGCACTGTACAAGCTTTCCTTTCCATGCTGCTTTTTAAATAAATGGAAAGCCTCTTCTAGATATAATGTAGTAATTATATCAGTTTCCTTATCCCCAGAAATAAAAATTCTAGATTATTCAGCAAAGGCTATTGGCATATTAAATATGATAAACGCAGAGACTGTACCATTCAAGGTATGATTGGGTCTTATTATAACAGAAGCCAAAACCAAAAAAAGAAGGCCTGGCACTCCCCCGCAGCCCCACATCTTATCTAGCCATACTCTGTCACACCTCCAACACAACACACTTCTAGTATCAGCTGCATTGGGGAAAAAAAGAGCAACAGGGAGCAAAATGAAACAAGGCAGAAGGAACATATCTATATGTAGACAAAAAGAAGTTCTACAACACCCACTTTCCCCAGCTAGCATCTAATGCCAGTAGCAACTACAGTGATGCTGATGTTATTGATGTTTGGTTAATACACAACGAAGTGACCGTTTCCTAATTCTTTCCTGTGCAACATCCTAGCATATCTTATCTAGAATGGCTTCCAGAAATGAAATTTAAAAGCTGGCTGTTAGTTATATTAAAGCAGCGAAATCAGGATTCTTCAAGACATCTAGCTTGCCTAGTCAAATAATAATAAAAAAAAAGCAAAAACTTTCAGCCATACAGCAATGTAAAAGTATGTCTATATGTGCAGAGGACTCAACAAGTTTCATTCTCCAAATAAATGAAACCTGATAACAGACTTTACATTCCCAGAACAAATCAAAAGTGCAATATTCCGGGCCAAATGTCTCCCTTGCATTAATGTGCTGGCTGCAGGAATTAGATAAGGACTTGTTAGCAACTCCATAGGCAAATTCACAGAGGAAAAGCCTTCTACTTTTCCAAATGGCATTGTTCTTATCAGCATGTACACCCTATGATATATTGTCCCTTACAGCAAGATCAATGAACTTTTTTGGTGGTCAGATAGTCCACATACCCAATAGCACTTGTGACTGACACACTGCAAGTTCAACATACCAGCACACTATCTAGATAGTAATGTTATTTGCATAGACATTCAAGTCTGTCAGGACATAAACCTACATTAAGCAGCCTTGAACACAGGGAGTGGCAGGATACACATTTGAGATAAACAATACTTTTCAGACAAATTTACAACTTAATTCTACTCTTAATACATGTAGACTCAGTGTCATTCACTGGGACTTATTCCCAGAAGTGTAAGCATAAGAATGGGACTTAGGGAGAAAGCAATGATAGGAAGACTCCTTAATAAAAACAGAGGAGCTACACTGGATATGAGCAAGAGTCGACCTAATCCATCTTCCTGTTCACATAATAGCAACCCAGCTGCCTGTGGCAACCTGCAAGTAGGACATGGGTGCAATAGTAACCTCCAACTCATGTTCCAAGCAATTAATAATGGAGCGTCATCATGAGAATAATCACAGATAGATAATAACCATTATCTTTTATGAATTTATCTAACTCCCTTTTAAATCTATGAATTTCAAAATTAAGTATCTACAGTTGGACAGTACTTTAGTACTGAAGGTTGGGAAGTGATTCTCACAAAAAACTCCCTAAACTAGTCTTCCCCAACCTCATGCTTCCAATGCCTATCATGCCCACTCCGTTAGTCCATTCATTAGAGTTGAAACCTTTTGCAAGTCTTCTAGGATTGCCCCTGGATGTAGCCACAATGGAAAAGATGTGAGCATTCTTATTTGTAGATCCCAAAGTTGGAAATGAAGCCCAAACTGGAAAAGTGTGGTGCAGTCTATCAGTTCCAAACTAGTATCTAATTGGGGGTTACACAGAACCACTTCTCCTTACTCAAGACAAATATTCTATGCTAGAAGTCTTATAGACACTCCTTGACATCTATTTTATACTGTATTTATAGCTCTTCTCAAGAAAAGGAATTATTTTCTAAAAATGTATACAAACTATTTTACTGGTCCCAGACACACAAAGTGCTCCAGTAGCATGCTGGTTTTAATGAGACTCCATAGATTTGTCCTCACCTAAGACTCAAGGTGGTGAGTCTTAAATCAATACTAAGGATAATAAGACAAGAAGAGTTGCTCAGTCTCCAGACTACCTTATCAGAGTGCTTAGAAATTTACAGTTTAGAAGTTTTGTTTCAAAATGCAGTGCCTCCCTTCACTGAGGTCTTGGCTGTCTAGCTTCTTATTAATCAGTCTGATTGAAAATCTCATAAAGGAAAGCTGCCTCAATGGGCTAAAAGTAACACTATTTGCTCCCTCTGCAAAGAAAAACCAAAATAACTTTTCAGTCTGAATCCTAGAACCAAATAACGTTAACAGCAGCTCACATATTATGTATTCAGCAGCACAAAGTTAAGCATATTACACAAGTGCTTTCTGTCTTTCTTTCTTCCAATGGAACACGAAGAGACAGAATGACTGATACCCAAGGATGCATTATGTTGCCCAATCAACATGCAGTAGTCTTTAGCAGCCAATTTTCCTCTAGCACTTATTTAATAAATTTCTATACTGCCCAACAGCCAAAGCTCTATGAGTGGCTCACAAAGCACATTAGAAAAGATACATTGTATAAAAACATATTAAAACATCATTAAATGTGTACAATACAATATTTAAAGCTACTTATTAAACAGGTTAAAACACAGATTAAATAATAACTTAAATAAGAAGGAAAAGGAACAAGAACATATATTCAGATCTGTTAGCAGCTAGTAGGTCCCGGAAGCTACTTGATTGTCCTACAGTCACCCCAGGTGCTGAGAGGTCCAGGAGAACCAACAGGGTCACACTTCCCCCATCTCTCTCCTGGCACAGGTCATCATGCAGCGTAACCAAAGCTGTTTCCATTCAAAAACCAGGCCTGAACCCTTACTGAAATGGATCCAGATCATCAGTCTTGTCCAAGAGTGCCTCGCACTACTTGGCGTTGATCTTCTCCCTGGCCCAGCCAGCAGTTTCCTCCTGGCAAGGATTCAATGCGGACCCAGCTGCACAAACCTGTTCAAGTACCCTGTCAATATCCTTGAGCTGTACTAACCAGAACTCATCCAATGTAACTAAACTAACTCAGCCACTTCAACCTAAGTTAGTTTTTTACTTTCTCACCTGCAATGTCTAAATATTCCCTTTTTTTCAGAAAAAAAATGAAATATGATATATAACTTCCAACTCATGCAGCCATGACCACTTGCATTCTTTCCTTTTTTGAAAAGACTCTGTCAACCTGTCTTTAAATTTCAGCACAAACCATTTAAGTAGAACTTTTAAAAAAGTTATTGTAATGACCAAGCATAGTAAGTATCATTAGGATCAAGCATAGTAAAAGCAGCACTTTATGAGAGAGACTGGGCAGAATGGATGAAATTCCAGTATTTAAAAGAAAGATAAATCAAAGCAAGCCAGTATTACCCATTACTAAAAGCTGCTCGACCTAGCTGTAGGCCATAAGTGAGGGGAAGGATCTCAGCTAAATCCATAATATCATGCAATATTTTCTTCTTTGCAAACTACAGCAATGGTCTATTCAGGCTGCTTCTTCCAGCTGCAAAGAGCAGTAGAAAACAGTGATGGTGGTGATGCCATGACCAGGAACATAATGGCTATTTGTCATTCAGCTGCTGACCTGTGTGCAGCTCCTTGCCCTAGGCTGACATCATATTGTACTTATTGTGAAAACTGTTTTCCTACAAAGCATTGTATTAAGGTAGAAGAAAATGTATTTTTATAGAACTCTACATACTTTCTGATATGATATTGTTTCAGCTGTGTGAGCATCTTCCTGAGTTTTCAGTACTTTTTGTGCATCCATATTGAGAGCCTGAAGCTGCTGGATCAGCTCTGCCTGCTGTGCTGCATGTTCAGTGTTTTGTTTGTAGAGATTCTGCAGCTCCTGCAACTCCTTCCTGTGCAAAGCAAGCAAGAAACAAGAAACTTGAGCAAAAGAAGTACCACAATCATCTCAATTAAATAGTTGTGTTAGCTCTTTTTATGGAAAAACCTTAATTCTTATCTATGCTTTCCTCTCAGCTTAAAAATAGATATTATTTTTAAAGGTAATAGAGATGGATGCTTATTTTTTATTTTGCTTAACTTGGATCAACATGCCAGAAAACAATGTGACTGGTAAAATAACTGAATCTTCAAAGCAATACCAACTGTTTTCTTTCAGTACTCAACAAATTCTATTATTCCAAAATATGACATACAACTTTCACTAATATAAAGGTTTTAAACCTGTCATTTGCATCTTTTCATTGCATCTTTTTTCTCTATGCCCAAGAATATCTTCTCTAACTGATGATTAGCACTTCTTGTATCTGGTGAGGTAGGCTCAAGTTCATATATATATAAGTTCACAAATATATTCAAGTTCATATATTTCCCAAACTTTCTTTAAACTCCAGTGGAGAGTCCTGTGACAGCAGCAAATGAAAATGGAGTATGTCAAAATTTTAACTGTAGAAAGTCATCTCTCCATCATACTTGTAGCCCTGCTTGCACTTGTAGTGGACTTGTCTCGGACTGGACACACGGCATCAGTTCTCCTTTTGCTGACTGTAAAGGGTGGCTTTTTTGATTCACTGAAACGAGTACATCCTAATTATGTTTCAAATGTGCTGAGATTATTAGCATTGGTTCAAAGCCACCTGTCCTGCTCCTCAGAACATAGCTATTTGATAGTATAGCACTTTGCATTACTTAGTAGCCCCTTGTGGATGCTCTACAAAACAGAATAGAAGCTACCTGAATATTTGCCATTGTTTAAAGGACTTCAGAGTCCACTGGACTCTGATTTTCTGCATCCTAACTTTTATATAGGCCAGTATCTTACTGTGGGGTACTACCACAACATACACTTAGCTTAAACCAATGTTTTCAGACATTAATTCATGAATTTCATATCAATGCAGATAGAAATCTAAATGATATCAAATACCCAGATGGCAATGATTTCTCTTTCTTCCTGAGTCTGTAATTTGTTGTGAAGGAGGGCACTAGGCAGGGGATGCAGGCGAATTTTCTATGGGGTGTGTGTGTGCGCGCGCGTGTGTGAGAGAGAGAGAGAGCGCGAGAGTGAGCGCATGCGTGTGTGTCAGGAGCTTCAGGTCAGGAAGCTGCTTGGTTCATTCCCACAGCTGCTCAAGTCAAAGCCTTCTGCTATGCGAACTTTCACAGAAACTGCAGTCATTACATCGTAAGACGGGGTAGAGCAGACAAGCAGCAGGATACTGCAGCTGATCACAGGATACCTTTCAAAACTGAGCAGCTTTAATAGAGCCTTACAAAAGCTATAAAGAAAGGTACCTCAAAGCTCACCGTTTCAATCTTCAGATATGCATGAATCTATAAATTGTGGGGTTAATGCTCTGCAAGTAAATGTCTGATTGACAAAGCAGAACAAAGGACTAGGGCATAGGTGACAGATTTGCTAGTAAGTGCTTAGTTGCTGTTTCATCTGGTTTGGCACCCAGCTCAATTTTGTGAGGGTCTGAATACTGATCGACAGAATAAAACAGCATTTTGCCAACATAACACGAAACAGAAAGGGATGCACCCATTCCTGTTCTTATTGCACAAAAGGAAAGCCAAGAGAAGCATCCCCAACTGAATTAACTTGCTGACTTTGTAAAAAAAACAAAAACCCTGCATGCTGTATTTGATTACACTGAACTCTTCCTTGGTGTCTTTTGGTTCTTTCCTCACCTGGGCACCATAATTCTCACTGTGGTGTGCTACACCATGCCAAAGGAGAGACATTACAATGAAAGAGTCTAACGTGTCCATTTCAGAGCGTGTGCATGAGCAGGAACACATAAAAAAAAGAAACATGAGCTGATTCAGGCCTCAGAATCCATGAACAATCAACATGTAAGGAGGAGGAGCTGTGGCACAACTAGGCAGCATACAAATGTTTTGAATGAATGAACGAACGAATGAATGCTTTGTTCCCCTGTTTGCACACCTGCATCATTCTGAACTCATGTAGTGCAACAGTCAGAAGAGCAGCACTTCCCTTATCCTGGTTCCAAGAGCTCCCTGAATGATTTTATGGGATTTCTAATGGTATGAAGATCCTCCTCTTCAGATTGTCATCTTTCACAAATACAGGGGAAAGGAAACACGTGAAGGGAGGAAACTAGAGAATTCCCCCTTCCTGCATGTTGATTGGACACAAAGTATGAATGCAGTATCTCTCAGAGCATCCCTGTCAGGCAAATATTACATGGGCATGGAATTTCAGGACAGAATTTCAAGCACCAGGCTGTGCATGACACAACCAGTAAATTTTGTGTTGCAAACAGAACAGTAGCTTTCCAAACTTTAAATAAGGCAAGCATCATAGATGTGGCATTAGGTACATCTTGTCCATGACATTAATTGTCCTTAGCATAATCTTTGCTAATACCTTCTAGCATTGTATTGAGGCTTATTAATCATCTTTATTATAGGCCTTCTATTAGACTATAAAGGCCTAACAATGATTATCATGAAAATTCCTTCAACACTAAAGAAAAGATTTCCTGTTATTTCCTAATTGCATATTGAATAACATTCACCTTTCCACAGCTTACACTACTGTAATGTCATAAAAGATGACAGACGTATCTATGGCTATGGAAGTTCTGTTGATGCAACATACCATTATAGTCATTATATGGAAGAAATTGCCTAGAACAGAGTGTAGCCATTCCAAAGGGAAAGAATGGATAAATAAAAGGTCCATGTTTACTTGGACGGTCTCATTCTGTCCCAACGAGCAAGAGTATTTTTTTCTTTTTATGTTTTAATTAATTTTACATGCATAAAGAATACAATTAATAGTAATGAACATAATTAAACACTACTAATAAGCATAATGAAACAATAAAATAACAACACTGCTACCTCCACCTGGACCAACAAATCATGCTACTTAATATAAGATCATGCATTTATTCCGGTTGCCCCACTCCCACTTCCCTTCCAGAACTGCACTGACTCTTGTGCCAAGTAAGTGTATTTACAATTGCAACCCAAGTCTGGGGAAAAATCAGTTATACCAAACCCAAAAAGGGAGCTTGTCACAAATAGAGCTGCCAGGCTGTTGACGGGGACTGGGCGTTATGGTCACATGACTCCAGTTCTCCGTCAGCTTCACTGGCTTCCCATTGAAGTCCGGGCCCAATTCAAGGTGTTGGTAATGACCTATAAAGCCCTAAACGGCTTGGGTCCTGGTTACCTGAAGGAGCGCTTACGTCCATATATGCCCAGCCGGCCCTTGAGATCAGCGGGAGAGGCCCTTCTCCGGGAACCCTCCGGGAAGGAAATTAGGAGGGTGGCTACTCGGAGGAGGGCTTTCTCTGCGGTGGCGCCCAACTTATGGAACATGCTCCCCAGAGAGGTCCGCCTGGCGCCGTCGTTATTTGCTTTTCGGCGTCAGGCGAAAACCTTTTTATTTAAGTGGTATTTTAACTGTTAGTAGTAACTGATTTTATCTGGCCAGGGCGGCTTATTTTATATTGTATTTTTTGGATTTTTAATGTTTATATTAATTTATTGTTGTAAGCCGCCCCGAGGCTTCGGCGAATGGGGCGGCATAAAAATGTTTTAATAAAAATAAAATAAAATAAATATCACTCACACACACACACACACACACCATCTGTTGTGGCCTAAGCTTTCATGAGTGAGACCACAGTGACCATTCACAGCATCACTAATTTGTTAAATGTAGTAGAACAGAAATCTTGGTTTATACTAGATCCTAAACAAACAGAACCAAACTTAGTCGGGTTCAGCAACTTCTTAATAGATTCTCCATTTAAAATAAGCAGTAGATTCTCAGTAGATTTTCTCCTGATCCTCCCTTTGGCGGAACAATTGGACCATACAAAGTCAGCAGCAGAACATTCTGGAAGATAAATGTTTTCCCACTGGTGCCTGAATTGTGCCATTTTCTGAATGTGGCAATGTGAGGATGTGCAATGTACCAAGTTGTAGCATCACTGTGTTTGCACTGTCCATGCAAAGTTAATACCAAGCATCATCAGACATAACACTGGTTTGGTGGCTGGTGATGTGCTTGCTAGGGACTTCAGACAACTGTCATCATTGCTATAGTGCATCTTTTTTTACTGTTAGTAATGAGCTTTGGATATTTCTTCTGGGACAGCAAGAGGTATAAACTATTTACATTCATGTGAGTTTCATCAGCCATATTAATGGGACCAAAGGTTTGCCCTGCCTGTGCTTCACAAGCTTTCTTAGCTCAGGCTTTCCTTACACATCCCTCCCATTTCATAAATGTAGTGTTAATCCTCTTGATCCAACTTAAAATGTGAAAAAACCCTCAGATAAAGCTGAAATCACAACATTATAAACCTTTAGCAGTAGACTCCTGCTGACCTGTCAGACTTAACTCTAATTAAAAAGTGAAAGTTGGGCTTAAACTTTTGTCAGTTTCAGGCATTTAGCCTCTCAAATTAATTGCTTATGTTACTAATCATATTGATGTTTTTTGACTTTTAGTGGAGATTGAGAACTCTCTGACCCTACACTAATTAAAGGTGTGCATTTTAACTAATGTCCATAATGGAAGGCAAAAGGCACTGAGATAGTTTGCATTAACAGTAGACACCCTAAATGTACTCTGGAGTGCAAAAAGCACTGGGACAGACTTTCTACAAATCCAGACTATTTTACATTTCCTTGGATTATTCTCAAGAGAAGTCAACAACTTTCTCATAAAAGTGTGGTACATACCTTGTTCTGGTCACATCCAAATCTTTTTGTGTTAATTCAGTCTGCTTAACACCCAGCTGAGATGCCAGATCATTGCATCTACTCTGTAAGATTTCCATTTGCTCTCTTGCCTCTTTTAAATCAGCTTCCAAATTCTGGAAAACACATTATATACTATGAAAGAATTAAACTAGGAACAAAAGATTGTGCAATAATAAGAGGACAACAGCAGTGTAACTGTTTCAAGCATACTTGTCTAATCAGATTAAAAATATGAGATGTGCTTACCTTACAATCATAAAAACTGGCTTAGATAAAAATTAATATAGTGTAAAATACTACAATTACAACGAGGAAACTAATAAAATACAGCTAGGCAGTGGCTCTGTTCACACACAATGACAAGCTATGTCAGGAATGGCTTGCTGTGTGCAAAATCAATAAGCTTGTTGAAGCATGGTATGTTTGGTTACCTTAACCCCATGCAGAATCAGTGGCCTAGTCTAAGGTTTCCATGTTTTAGCATTACTTTTCATTATGTGTGAATTCATTTACGAAGTTTTTCCATAGTTTCTGCCATCGAGTTTGGAGGCAAGAGCAATCATGGTAGCAGCAGACGCTCCGACCTGCATTTTTTGTTGGCCTGTTCTGCCAGACAACTGCCAAGGCAGCTGCAGCTGCCCTCTGCCTTGCACTGCTTTTTCCCTGTCCACACCCTGCCTTCCCGAGGCCCAGCTGCAGTTCTGGAATATCCACAGCAGCAGCAGCAGGGCATTGCACAGCACCCTCTCCAGGTGCAGCCACTTGGAGACAGGCATGCTGACTGTCAGGTACTTCCTGACAGTTAGGACCCCAAGGGTATGGACTGAGCTTCCATGGGAGGTGGTCAACGCTCCATCAGTGAGGGTATTCAAGGACAGGCTGGACATGCACATGTCATAAGTGGAGCCAGCTTATGGGGTCAATCTAGATGGCCTGGGAGACCCCTTCTGACTTGTTCTGTTTCTCTATGTTTCTGTGCTTGACATTGCCGTCTGGGTGTTGCACTTTGCTCGAGTGGCACTCCAGAATGGCTGTATATGTGTTCTACTCAGGGAGCCAGGACTCTCTTCTTGTGAAGACATCTTTGCACAAGAGAAGCACACTGACTGTGTGCAGGCAGAGCCATCAGGGAGATTGTCCTGAGAAGCCCAGGTCTCCCACTCCCACCACTCCTATCTTGTCCCTGACATTCCTAAGGATTCTGAACTGTGCCCCCACCTCCTGCCACGGCTGCACAACCACCACATTGCTTCTGGTCAGCCAGAAAGCAGATGCCCACATGGGGCTCCCATGGAAACTATTCCCACAGGATGCACTCCCTCCATCCCTGCCATGGGTGCCCATGAAGATGCTCTCTGTGCACCTGGGTGCAGGGGGAGACAGCCCCTGGCAGCATATATGAGTTCTGCGCATGGGCATGTGTGGAGTGGACACCGTGCAGCAAGGGATGGAGTAGAGGTGGGTGTGTGGGTTGGCATGCATACTTGCACATTGGTGCGGCGCAGGACAGTGCAACACAGCAGAGGGAGCATTTCTGCAGTGCTCCTCTAGAGCAGCTCCTCTAGTGAGTGGCGGCTGCCTCACTGGGCAGCAAAAAACAAAAGCAAAAAACTGCAGCTCGCTAAGAACATGTCAAGGGGGGTGTGGGGGCCAGTGAGGGAGAGGCAGGCAGGGCTGGCAGGATTGGTGCATGTTGGGATTGCTTCCTAGCCATGGGGGTTGATGGGATATGTGCTACTATTTGCAAGTCAGATGGAGGTGCATGGAAACTACTAACAAGTAGTTACCACTCAAATGTGTGAACTCAGGACACAAGATAGACAACCACATGGTAACTATTCAAGTTATATGTGAATAACAATATTTATATTGTCCTGCAGTAATGCACACACAGTGGACAGTTCTGCTTGTTCCATCTGAATCTTAGAAATGCAGAATAGGAAAAATAGGTTGCTTTTCATGCTTTTTAAAACTGAGCCTTATTTTTCTCTAAAAAATAATCTCAGATTGTCTAAAATATATTAACTCCCAAAAAAACCACAATTGTAGGTATAGTAAAAATAGTTCAAATTAGTAAAATCAATTTTATAGGCCAAAACCAGGGGGAAAATAAAATAATTCAGCATAAAAACATGGAAAAGACCTGTAATCCACACTAAGAACTGTGGATAATAAAGTGGAGGAAATACGCAAGGATGAATTTGTTCAACTTTGGTCAGGCCAGGTTCAGAGGTGATTCTGCAATCTGTTGAATGGGCACACCATTATCAGTAAGAAAAGAAAAGAAAAGAAAAGAAAAGAAAAGAAAAGAATCCAAGGAAAGAAAAGTGGCAAAAAGAGGGCTAAGACATTGTCTGGGACTATATAAAAGACAAGAGGGTAAGTTGATGTCAATCATAACCAGTCAAACACAGAAAGGGTAGTATTGACAAATATTTGTGGTTTTACACACTGAATTCACACATAACATTAAACAATGCTGTGCGGTTACCATGCAGCATGTTACCTAATCTTCTGTTCCTGTGCTCACACATTTGCAAGGAATCTGATCATAAGTAGCTTCTGTGCACCTCCATCTTCCCTCCAAACGGTAGCACATTGTCAGTCCCTGCAGCTAGAAATCAATCCTAGCATCACTGTCCTGCCTCTCCTCCGCTGGACCACCTGCTCTCCTAAGCCAGCAGCCACTTTTTTTCCTCCTGCTACTCCAGGGAATCACCATCTACACATTAGAACAGGACAGTTGCTCTGTAGGAGCAAGAGAGCAACACGCCCTGCTGCTGCTGCCGCCACACTCCGCCCATGCATAAGCACGTACCGCACATCCACTCGCACCTCTCCCCCTCCCTTGCTTCACACATGCCTGATGCTCCCCGACCCCAGTGCAGGATTTGCAGATGTGGTGGGGGCCACCTCCCTCCTGCAGCCCAGCACATGGAGTGCAAGCAGCATGGGCACTGGTGCCAGAGATGGAGGGACTTCCCTGACAGTGCCTGTCTGGCAATCTTCCTGGGAAACTCCAGTGGCAGGCTGTCAGGAAAGGGACAGGAAAGGGGCTTGTGGGCATTCCCCTGGATTGTCAGGTAGAGGGAGGGAGGGAGCGAGCGAGCAAGCGAGGCAGAGGACCGGGACCAGAGCAGGAAATACGGGCTCCCTGTGAAACTCACTGTGGTGGCACTGGCCCATGTGCTGCCCATGCATTCCTCACAAACAGGAAGGCTTCCTTGAAAAGAGACTGGGGTTTCCCATGCAGCACAAGGGCCATGTGCTTACTGCTCCAGCAGAGGGCAATGATCAGGCAGGAGTGCCATGCTTGGCTACATCTGCAGTTGCTGTTAAAGGCACTCCTTTTCTTCCCTGCTCCACCACAATGCTCAGGCAGTGCATGGCGGCCACCACAAGGAGGCTCTGAGGAGGTGGAGCAACCGAGAGTGTGTACCAGCAGGGAAGAAAGGAAGCACAGGGACAGCCAATCAGTGCCCTGCTGCCAGAAGTTGCTAGGCAGATCAGGCCAGCGGAATGAGGCAGCTGGAGTGCTCCTGCTACCAAACTCACTGGCATAAAGGGGAGACCATGCAAAAGACTGTAAGTGGATTCACACAGAACAATAAGCAACGGTGAAGTGCAGAAACCTTAGAACAGGCCATTGGTTCTCCATGGGGGTTCATGGTAACCAAATAGGCCATGGTTCACCAGGCTTGCTGAATCATACAAAACACCAAGAGTCATCACACATACACATAGTAAACAGAATTTTAAAACGACTCCACCTATGCGAGCAATAAAACAACATATTATATCTTGGAAGCTCAGCTTTTTCTTTCATAGTCAGGTTTAAGTATTAGTTACCAAGAAAAATATTTAAGATCTCAATAGTCATGAATAGTCAGCCATTGGCTTAAGGTAAGTGTAGCAAATCAGCTCAGCAGCTTCATGTGCTGAAGAGAAGGTTATAAATAATGTTTTTTGTTGGACATGAAATTAAACAAAACTAATTTTAACTCTTATGCTAATATGGTACAATCAGGTCTTGGACTTCAATAAAAATGAACATGTGGCACTAACATAACCACAGCATAGCATTATCTCTTTTCCTGTGTGGCATGTGTGGTATTCAATGCAACAAGAATGCTACCCTTTCACATCCCTGAGCCTTCTGACTAGACCAACTCTAGGGAAGGTAAAACTTTCATGACACAAACCATCAATGAAAAAACCAAAAATTTAGGCAATAAAAACTTTCCTCCCCACATCTTTTTTGCACCAAATCAGATTAACAAAGCTATTGCACTATATCCAACACAGACAATATTTGATAATAATAAGTAGGTACAAAAAGGAATTTTGGGGAATGTACTTTCTCATATAAAATCTGCAAGTCTTTGTATGGATACAAAGCATATAGTATTTTAAAACAAAATTGTGTGTCTCATCATATCATCTTCCAAATAGCTTTGAATAATGCTTATTTATTAAGCTTCCACAGTAGCTAAAATCTCTGAAGGGCGATCATGTAAGCAGTGCTTTTTACCCCACTGTGGCTCCCATGTGTGCTTTCTTAGCTTGCCTTCAAAGCCTCCCTCATAATAAGGAAATGTGTCTTTCTGGGTTAGATATTTCCTGCACAAAGTTGAGGTCTACCAGCTCCAACGATGAACAACTTTGCAACTCTTTGGGCCTTCTCCTCATAGTTTAGATACTGGCAGATCCAACTGCCTCAAAATTTACCTGTGTGTTCTGTGGAGAAACAGAAATCATTCTATCCTATCTCCTTTATTCCCCAATCTTTCTGCCTTCCCTTTTTATATCTCCCGTAACCACACTAGTTCAAAGGATGGAGTCATTTCCTTTGGGTATCCCGAGTGTTCTTATAGTACAATACTAAGGCAATGAATCTGTTGTCTCAGACTATCCTTAGATAAATGTTCATTCCTGGTTGTCATAACTCCCAGCCCAGGCCCAAAGAAGAGTAAACAGATAATTTCTTGTTGTTTTTTACAAAGAGGATTACAGTAGCTTGAGAGTTGCTATCAAACAAGGTTTGCTTTGGTAGGGCAGCCATGTATATACAAATAAATTAAATAAACTTTTCATTTACAAATAAGTTGATATTAGGTGTCAGACATTCTTTTACTATGACAGTTTTTCACTCTGTAAATAGCTAAAATCATAGACCTCGATTGTGGGTGCCACAGTCTCCTAAAGTTATAGAAGCTTTCTGATTTAGATCCTTAGAATACAAAGCATAAAAACTGTGAAGAAAAATCAACAGGTAGCCAGCCTGTAGACTATACATGCTGAAAAAACACAAAATATAGAACGTGAATGTAACTGATATGGCGCTCTGGAGAAAATCATTCAACATAGTATTAGTACAGCATAGTGGTTAGAGCATTCTACTGAGGCTTGGAATATCTGGCTTCTAGTCCTCATTCAACCATATGATGCACTGGGTGGTACTTTGGCCCAGTCACTCACACTAAGCCTAACCTACCCACAAGGCTGTTGTTTTGAAGATAAATGGAGAGGAAGAGAACTGTGTGAAGCTGCCTTTGTTTCCCTACAACATGGGTCCTCAGACTATAGCCCAGGGGCCGGATCCGGCCCAGCATGACCATTTATCCAGCCCGCCATGCCCACTTGGGCGCACGTGCACACGCCCCAGTGCCGCTTCCCACCTCACCCCGCTGCGCGGGGAGGCAGCAGTTTGCTTGCTTGGTGAAAATAATCTCCAAGCAAGCAAGCAAGCAAGCAAGCAAGCAAGCAAGCAAGCCGCTGCCTGGTGTTCCTGCCTCGCGGCGCGTGCCCACATGCACTGCCCCCGCCCACCACCAGCACCACCTTTCTGGCCCGCGCCCAGCACCGGCAGCTTTCAACTGGTCCCCTGGTGGAAAAGTTTAAGGACCCCTGCCCTACAAGAATAAGAACATTGGGGTATATATGTAATGATAATAATATCATCACCACAAATTAAAATGGAAGTTCATCCTATCAAATGGCACTGTTTCTTCCTGGACTTTTTTTCCACTATAAACCAAGATGGTTACAACTGACTGTCATTGATCCATGAAAAAAAAGTAGAAACTTGTGCATTTAAGCCAACTTCTTATGCAAATTAGCACAGATTTTTTGTAACCAACATCTATGTGCCATAGCAAGCCAGCCAGCACTTTGAATGCAAAACACATACAGAGCAAATGTGCAAACTATCAGAAATCACTGCCTTTAAGAAATGTACACATTCTAGATTGTGGATAACCAAGTTAATATATTATGTCCTTTATTTCAGCAAAGCTCTCTGGCCCCAAAGGCCACATTAGGCAGCATGGGGCGGGGGGTGGGGGGGACAGGCCCAAGCATATGTCTACATACAGGCACTAATAGACTAGCACCCACAAATACCCCTTCCCCTTACCTTCCATTGGAGATAAAGGGTTGACTTGCTAATGCCAACAAGAGAAACCTTTCCTTAGCTCTGGTCTCTACTAAGATAACTGGAGGGATGCTCTAACCAGTGCAAGCAATTTAATCCTTTCCTTAGCTCAGATCTCTTAGATAAGCAAAGAATTCATCTGGTAAGCACTAGGAAGGGAAGCACTACATAGAGCAACTGCAACTTTTTTTGGAGGCAGATGAGAGGTTTGGAAGGCATCAGAAATCCCTTGAGAGGCCACCAGAAATGACTTGGTAGGTTACACCTTTTACTCTTCTGGATTACAGGAATGCTCTTGAATATTCAGAGAAAGGCTAGAGTTTACAATGTGTGTGTGTGCATGCAAACAAAATCTTTGAACAGCAACTGAGAGAAGGCTAACTGTGTACTTGAAGAATGGACAGCCTGAGGAAAGGGAGCTGAGGGAAAGACAAAGGTGGTAGTGGTGAAGTGCACAAAATGGACAGGGACAGGGAAGTACTCACAGGGAAAAAGACTGAAAAGATGATGTGAAGGCAGCCCTGAAAGGCAGCAACAGTGACAGAAAGAAAGATCCAGGGGGCAGAGGAACATCAAAGCAGGGAGAAATCAAAGCCCAGGAACTAGCTGGGGATGTGGGACACAGAGAGAAAGAAATTGAACGCACATTTCTTCAAGAGGTAATGTAGAAAGAGAATGAGAAGGGAAATGAAAGGCATGGTTGGAGGTAGCAGAAGGTCACCATGTAGAGATTAGGGAAACTGGAGGTGAAATCCAGGTAACTGCTATCCACCAACACCAGCATTAATTTCATATGGCAGTCCTAAACTAAAGGTTTAACCAAATTTAATGGTTTTTACTCACCAAGGGTCTGGAACTGTGTTTTTGTGACTAGGAATCTATCCAAGGTATCAGCAGCATCACTAAACTACAGTTCCCAGGATACTTTAGGACAAGCCTTAGAAATAACACTTTTATACATTTGTAGTGTAGAAATGTCCACAGAGATGTCAAAAATTCATTCACTACCACACAATTTATTAGTAACTCTTTTATGTGGGAAGAAATAAATCTTTCTAAATAAGTCAGTTATAAAACTTATAGCTTATCTATCCTTGGGCATTTATTTAGTCTAAACAGTTTAGATCTTAGGGAACCCTAAGCATATCACACACCAATTCTATGACAAATTCCTAGAAACAGATATATACCAAGTTCTGGACATATGAGGCATCTAATAAAATGAAAAAAGAGCCAATACATTTATCATAAAAATAAAATGTTTAAAAAAGATCTTATCATAACAGTAACTTATCATGAGTGGGAGCCTCTAACGATTGATACGAAATGCATTACAGAATTTAGGAATATACTCACTGCTGTGTTCATTGCATTAACATTACACCAATGAAATAAACACTGAAATCCTGTGCACATTTTCCAGGAAGTAAATGCCACTGATCTCAGTGGGGCATACTTCCAAGTAAACATGTTTTGGCTGGCTAACACTGGAAAGAAAATGCTTGACTGAATGGACCTTTGGGTCTGATCCAGGAGAGGTCTTCTTATATGCTTATGCAAAAGACTGGGCTGCCAATCTCATTGAGAAGGGAAATCCAGGAGTGACAGGATCTTTCTGACTATTTTTAAAAATAATGTTTATATTTGAATGAAATATCTTTTACTATTTAATGATTACATTTTAGGGTGGCTATTTGAAGTCAGTTTCCTGCTTTGCTACATCAATTTTTAAAAAGCTTTGGGTCCTCAGTGAAGGAATGTAAATGAATGTCAGTCCCCATTGGTAGTTATGAATATATAACTTGTTATTTAAAGAAAATAACATGTAGCAGAACGCCTCTGAGAAGATGGTTCTGAAATCACATCCAGGAGCCTCTTCCTTCTCATACCTTTATTTTTGCATCGATGCCAGATTTCTCTATTCTCCATTGTGCCTCCCGCTTCCTCAGTTTCTCCAGGTCATTTAGCAGGTCAGTATAGCGTGTACTTAATCCCTCATTTTCCTCCTCCAGATTTTTTATAACCAGTCTGCTTTGCTCATCCTTTCTCACTGCACACTCCTTAGTGTCCTGTAGAACAGTACCACAAGGGCCGATAAACCAAAAAAAAGGGGGGGGGGAGGAAAGGGGGGAAAAAAGGAAAGTGAGAACTAATCAGCAAATATAAACTGTGCAGTTTTACCCTCACAGCAGCTTCCTCCGTATTTGATGGCCAAGGTCACCTGTGTACTTTTATTGGCCTCTTTCATGCAGGTGGAAGGGTCATATTTTTTAGCTGGATGACAGCTTTGATGAGTACACATTTGCAAAGAGCCCATTAATTGATCAAGCTGCCTTTGATGCTGTCCCCAGCTATTTTTGAGACCCACACAGACATATCCTCCCAGACCTCGGCTTTATCAATTAATAATGCCAGTCCCATCAGAATCTAATTACATGAAGCCACATCTTCACACTCCTACTTTCTTTGCTCCATTTCCATCATTAACTATTTATCGGAAAGTTATAAAGCGTGGATTCTTCACTTTAAAGCATCTTTCTCTGAGTTTTGTGCGTGAGAGAAAACTGGAAGGTACAGCCTAAGGCCTAAGGCTATACTTCCTCTGAGCTTGTCACTTTCCATGCCACAAAGACGATGCAGCTCAAAGAGCTACTTCAAAGCTGTGGCCATCTTGGTGCTATGTATGAGTGAATATACCTTAAGTTCCTGGATTTTATCTTTAAGTTTCTGCTGTAAGATGCAGAGTTCGTCCTTCCAGGCCATGTTTTCCCCATCGATAGCAATCTTTCTCTGCATCAGGCTGTTTATTTCTTCTTGTTGCTCACATGCTCTCTACAAAAGGTTAAAAATGATTAATTAAAAAGAGGGAAAAGCAATGCATTCAAACAACTACTTCAAACAATCAAAGATTTTCATTTTACTTGTGCCAAGTCCATTTACAGTTTTTGCCTGCTATTTACTCACACTTTCCAATCCAATGCAGAAGTGTTTAGTGGGATCATATTAGTCAACTAAACTATTATATTCCTATCTAGCAGAGACAATGCTGCACAAAAGTCTATATTTGAATAAATAAGGGAGATTTCAGTTTTATTTTCGATATTTTTAAATGATGATTATAATAGTTCCTGAAAGCCAGGAATCTTAAGTAAAGAAATGATGCACAGGGGATAGTACTGTTGTCTAGCCAAGTCCTTGTCTGACCTATTATCTCATACAATAGAGCAGAATAGTTACTTCAGAGCCTAGCAACTTTTTATTGTCTAAAGAGCAATCCAACCTACGGGCATGATGGCTCACGACATTTGGCATCATCACAGAGGTTTGAAGCCCAGCAACTCTTGACTGAAGTGTATTTACGTTTGCAGTATTTCCAGTTTATGTCCTAGCTAAACTGACATTTTAGAAGTCAAATATCACTAAAAGATAGCTCTCTTTAAAACATTCTCTCTCAAATATTAACTTCATGTAAAAGTATCCAGTGTTTTTAAATGTCATTGAATGTGTTCCTCTATGCACATGCACAAATTTGAGCACATTCCCATACTATGCATTCATTAAAGAACCTTTTGATTCTTACAAGAAGGCATCTGGCAGAGAAAACCCAATGACTGACTGACTGACTGACTGACTCTCTCTCTCTCTGACACACAACCCCACCCCCACCCACCCACACTCTTCTTCAAGTAATGGAGGAATTTTTTAACATAAGCAAGAACTTAAAATGTGTGCTCATTAATCTGGGAAATCAACTTGGTAGAGAACTCATGGATCAAGACAAATATGAATATATACAAACAGACAAGAAAGCTTGTATCAATGGATGCAAAGAGAACTGGATCATTGGGAAACTGGCTTTGTTCTTTTTCTTGGCTGCTGAAACCATAGCCAGTTGGAAGGACTGCTGAAGAGAGAAAGAAGTGTGTTGCACACAAGTGTACAAGGATTCCAACCATCCAATTAAATTGTAATGAGTAGCTGGGAAGAATAGTAGCCACGATAACAAAAAGGAATCCCAGCTGCCCACTAGTTGCCCAGGGAAAACTGCACTAAGTAGCTGAGGCTTCAAACAAATACAATCCAAAATTATATCAAATTAACAAAAATACATACATAAATCAGGGAAGGGAAAATATACCGATTTTTTAAATAATTTGATCACATCTCAACATGTGTTTAGGCAAGAATTTATGTAGCCAGACTTTGATGACACCGGTTAGAAGTATCATAGGAGCTGTAAAACCTTCAGATCCTATGCCCTGTTTTCTCTGTGGGTTTACTGATGGGAGCCCAAGTTTGCTTGACTCCCAACAGCCTAACGGCACTTCTTCCAATAGTGGAGTGATGAAGAGACCAAAATGAGTTTCAGTAAGCATGGATTCTGATGGTACTGGTTCAATATCTACACATGAAGTCTGTAGCAATGGCATTGTTTATGCACCACTGAGGGAAGAAATCCTTTCAAAGAGAGTTTCAAGAGACTCAAGTTTGACATTCAAAAGTCACAAAGAAGTTATAGGAAGACTTTAGGTGACAACAAAAGCCATGAAAGAATGGAGTTGAGATAACTCCTTGAAAATGTCATCTTCTACATAAAGAGAAAAACTAGGCATGCAACAAAGAGGGGGCTGTGCTAGCAGCTATTCTGGAGCTGTTTTCCTTTAAAATGTGGAAAGCTTTTCAGTTTACACCGGAGTATTGAACTGATCACTTCAGGCTGGAACATGCCTACATAATTGTATTATATAGATAGATATGTTGCATAGATTTGCTTACCTTAAAAACTACTGAATATTTATAGTTCCACTTAAGTTAGCATTGCTAGATTTGACCTTGCATATGTGACGAGCAAAGCCTTTTAAGCAAGATTACTTTGCTGCCAACTTTCTCACCTTGGCTTTTCTTATTGTTTCACATTTATGTTTTGACTTTAGAAGATGCATCTATTTGCATATTCTTTCCTTATAATCCGATTACAGCTATTATTTTACTCTGTTTTATATATTTTATGTCTATTCTTCTATACTGCACATTAGCAAAGACATTTGGGCAATTCAGACAATAAAACTTAAAACCATAAAATAAGTGAGATGATAAAACATAGTAGAAAAACCAAAAGATTAAAGCAAAGAAAAACCAAAGTAGAAACAAAGATAAAATCTACTAGCAGCAGAAAAATCTAAAAACACATTTTTTTAAAGCAGGATTGCTAAAATGTCTTGGAAAAGAGGGTCAGCTATTGGGCAATATAAAATGTAACAAATAAAAATTATTTACCTGGTGCCAAAAAGTCCACAACTTAAGAGCCAACCACTCCACCACTGGGGCTCCCTCCAATAAAAAGGCCCTCATTAAATTCAGTACATTTGGAAGGGCACTCAGAGAAGGATATTTTTCATATGCACATGCATATGTGTGTATTTTGCATACCTAAAATCTCAGAATACCTCAAACATATCTGTACAACCTCCTTGCTTCTCAGTGGCCCCGCTTTAGTCTCAGTCTTGCTGCAAACAGTGACCTAAGTTTGCATTTAAAAGTAATGATATTAAATATATATATATATGTATATATTGTTTAACCAATGCCTAGCCTGACAAGGCTCATGTTTCTTACTTTGTGAGGGCCTGCTTCTAAAAATCATGCTATATTTCTTACAATTGTTCAAGACTTAGACTTGTAACAGGTAGACTTTTCACTTTATGAAATATTTCCATTTTACCACTAATCATTTTATTGAGTTTCCCTCTTCCAGAAAATAAAGAAGTTAATACTACAGTAATTTCTTCTATAATTTGATTTTAATATAATCAAGGTATTTAAAAATGGGTCTACTAAATAGGCTAGATAACAGTTAAGAATGAGATGTTTTAATGTTAATTAATGCTCAAAGCTAGAGTTATGTTTCTTTCAATTGGACCTATTAAAAGGGGTTTTAATATAGATTTGCACAGCAAGCCAAAGATTTTCAAGTGGAAATAATGAGGCAGCTAGTACTGTTTTAACCCCTCTGGAGTATAATTGGTTGATAAGGTTTTGAAAGATTACAAGGTCTAGGACAAAAAGATTAGCTTTAGTCTCTTCAGATCAAAACTGAAAGCTAATTAAATAACAGTGCTATAAAACAGAAGGTAAAGGTTTACCATACTTTTATTCATTCTTAATTTTCATCTCCTGAGAAAAAACAAGCATCTTTTCTTTACATTTATTTGGATCTTTTATTGCCAACCTGAAATAACATTAAGGCCACCAACAAACAGAATATGTGATATAATATCTTAATGTTAATATCCTAGTCACTTAGAAAGAGAAGTGACTTGGGGGCTTTGATACTGAACCTCATCAATCCAGTAATGGACCTATATCAACACCATGGTATTCAGAGAAGTTGAGGGCAATGGACACTTACTCTAGTCGTGGCAAAAGACTCAGGACAAGCATAGTCAACCACAGGTAATAAATCAGAGCTTACTCGATGGCAATAATGGTGAGAAATAAATCTTTGCTATTACCACTTTGACTGAAAATAGTCCACCCCCACCACCCCATTTTTAAAGTATCTGCATAAAACCACTAGGGGGAGTGGTTCAGAGGTCTCTGTCGAAGGTAGATGACACATATTTCTAGCTCTTATTTCTATTTACTCATCTCAGGTAGGCTGTGCAATAATGAATAGATGTTTAAAGGAGATTATGGGATAGATGACAACAAACACTTTGGGAGTTAACTTAGATAAGACAGTATGTGAATAAGGAAATTGCTAATTTCAATGGTGTACAAGTGGTCTTGGATCTGATTCTACCTCCCTTACAAGACTGACTTCACAGCATGAGGGTCTTCCTGCATTTGGCATGATCTGTGGATACCTGAAGGGCTGCTTCCACCTGTATGGACCTGCCTAACCTTAAAATAAGCCATAGAGGCCCTATCTTCAGGTCTGCCATCAAGTTGTTAGACTGGTAGTACAAGTGATGGGTCCTTTTCAGTGGCAGCTCTGTCCCTATCTAACTCATTCCCACAAGATGCCTATTTGGCTGCTCTTCAGTTGCTTTTAAACTAGACTTGTGTCTTATCCTGATGGTCTGGACTGAGGCAATTTTATGCTGCTATCATATCACATTATAATGTTTTGGCGTGTGTGTGTGTGTCTGAATGATTGTTTACCTTTTATATCTGTATGTGCTGCAAACCAGTTTGTTGTGGTATATAAATAAATGGATAGGATGATAAGAGATTTTGCCTTGCATTAGTAAGACACTAGTTCCCAGAACAGAGGCATTTCTGCCAACTGTATATGCATTTGAGCATTATATTTGACCATGTTAACACACAACTCAGGCCATTTTGCATGGAAATAAAAAGTACTTTAAGAACTGCTCCAAGAGTGCAATTTTTTTAAGAGGATGGGCATAGGAAGGGCCCTGTATGGTATGGTAAACTGGAGTAGAGCTTTGGGGCTCAACTAAGGCAAGTGACTACCTCTGCTTAACCCATTTCCCAGTCTCTGTTTGAGGGTAAGTTAGGATAACCCTATAAACAACACTATGAAATCCCTTTCAAGGCAAAGCAGCATAGATATGTAATAGATATTTTGCACAAATGTACAATTTTGTATTGAGTAGTACAGCTGATAAAATATCTACAACACAGAATTCTGGATAACAAGTCTAGTTTTACCACCACATTTGGACAGGCTTAATTAAATCTGCAAAGCTTCATTTATTAATTGGTTTGCACAGCACCAAGGTGATAAGGCATGTGATAAAGCATGGAAGTAAATCTCAGACTTGTTTTTTTTCATATTAACTGGGGCTTATAGTCTGATAGACAAT